TTTTAATTCTGGTTCAGGCATTTTACTTATATCAGTCTTGATTAAATCCCTGGCCATTACATCTTCCTGTTCTTTTTTGGGGGGTCACTTCCTCCATCTTGCCATTTTTTCTAGGTCATTGTTTTTTTTTTTGGGTAATTGTTAGGAAAGCCTGTTATATTCCTGCTTCTGAGAGTAGTGGCTATATTAAGAAGAGGTCCAATACTTTCTTGGGTCTGGTGCTTCAGGAGGTGTTTCAGAGTGTGCACTCTGCTGTTGTGTTTTGGCTGCTCCTTCCCTTAGGTCAATCCTCTGCAGAGTTTCTCCTTGCCTGCAGTAGGGGTGTTTGGACCTCGTCCACTGTGTGGCAAGTTTTAAGTAGGTGTGTTTGGTATGCTTGTTAAAAGAAGCTAGATTCTATTCCCCCTAGAGCTGAAGCTTTGCAGCACTCTCTGTTTGGTGTGTGCACTTGGTGTGTGCAAGGTGTTTGTGCTGGTCTTCTGGGAGAGATACGCAGACTTGCCCTAGTAGACATGTGCCTGCAGGGTGCAGTGGGGTGGGGCTTGGTGTAAGCAGGCTATGGCTTCCACTGTGGGATGCTGTGTTGCTCATTGACGTGGTCAGTGCTATTGGATGTGGGGGAAATGGCTTCACTCTACTCTCTAGTTTCTGGAGTGGGTAGTTTGTGCCTGCCACTCTTCAGGAAGCCCTCATAGAAGAGCAAACAATCACCCCTCATGTGTCCCTGGCCTCTGTCAGATCCTTGCCTTTACCCTGTCTGTGTCTGAGCTGTATGCCTGCCAGGTGGCACAGTATTCCTGTGATTTATCTCAGGTGTGTATCTGTTTTTTAAAACTTTGCATTTGGGGGAACTATGTGGCACAGTTCCACACTGATCTCTGGGGAGGGTCTCACCACACTGTGCTAGTTTACCCCATAAAGGGAGTTGCATGATCATGCAGTGGTTTAGAATTTATGGTAAAGCATAACAAAAACCTGGCACCAGGGTTTGCTGCTTTCAGCTGATGTCTCTGTTCCTGTACTACTCAATAAAGCATGACTTTGACACTGCCAGTTCTTTTGTCCCCAGAGAGGCAGTGCCACCCCTCCTAAATGCACTCCAAGAAGGGGAACTGTTTCTCCCTATGTGACCCAGGGATCCTCAGACCATGCTTTCCCTTCCAGGTCTCTGTCTTCCATCCCCACTGGAGCACTACTAAGCCTCTTAGTCATGACCCCAGTGATTTCAGGGACTTCTAATACTTCAGACTTTGTACTCTACTGTTTATATAAGCTTGTGGCTGGCATTCAGCCTCTCTCCCTTTCCTAGTCAGTGGTTTTGGGGAAGAATTTTTCTTGTGCAGTCCCCTATGTGTGCTTTCTTTCCTCCTGTCCCCTCCCGTCTCCTCCCCTCCCATCCCCTCCCCTCCTTTTCCTTCCTCTCCCCTCCCCTCCCCTCCCCTGTCCTGTCCTGTCCTGTGATCAGGGCTTTCCCCTTTGCCGCACCTGCTGTTCTTTTCTCCCCCAAATCAACTCTTTGCAGTTCCTACCTTCCACGATGTGGCTGTTTTTCTCCCTTTAGATGTTGAGTTTGTTCTCTCAATTTGAGTTCTTGGGTGTTCAGAATGGGTGTTGATATTTATCTGGCTGTGTTTGAGGTATGAGGCAAGCTTAGAGTCCCCCTTACTCCAGGATCTCAACTCCTTCTTCTGTTTGGTACTTTTTAAAAAATATTTTCTGTCTCTGAAAATTGTAATTGAAATTGTCAATTTGTTCGTGAGTTGTCCTCTTGACCTCATTGAACATTTTAAATTCTCTGTGAGGTAAATTATTTAATTTTATTTAATTAGCATCCATTTCTGGAGATATCTTTTTCCTTTATTTGAAATTTCTTTTCCTTATTACTCATTTATTTGACTCTCTGTTTTGGTATCTGCTCATTAGACAAAAGTAGTTGCTTTGCCCAATCTTCACTGACAGGCCTTGTACAGAAAAGTATCTCAACAAGTCATCCTGTCCAATCATTTGGGGGGCCTCTACCGAATCTTTTTCTCTCCAGGGGGAAACATGCATCTGTGCTTTTTCCTGCTCTGTGTTGATCAGGAGAGAGGATTAGTAGCACCTACCCTCACAAGCTGCCGCCTGTATTCTCACCCAAGCAACTATATTGTGCTTGGCCCATCTGTGTTCCAGGATTGGTGAGAAAGATGCCAGTTCTTTTGGCAGTTTTGGTGAAGTAGGGAAACTACATGTATGGATCAACTTTTTCCTTCCTCAAGGAGAAGCAGAGCTGGCATCTTTTTGTCCACTTATTCTGTGCTTAGTGGGGACATGGGGGAGAAACCCATGGTGTCTACTAGCCCAAGTCTCTATCTCCATTGTTGCCTGGATGGCCAGATTGTGCTGAACCTGTTAGAGCTCCAAGACCAGTGAAATGGGTTCTAGTTCTTTAGGTAGCCCCTTCAGAAAAATTGGGGCTCTAGACATGAGGACAAACCTGTTTCATGCTCTGGGTTAGGCTGGGAGCTAGGGGGCCGTTTTGTGATCATATAGCAGTGCTCTGGGGCAGTATCCCTATTGAAAGGGGATACCAAATCTCTATATTGGCTTTGGTGAGTCTGATTTTGCATTTTCCCAGAGTGTGCCCCTACACACTTTTTAATTAGTTTAATTAGCTTTTTAATTAGTTTAAGCTTTCTTATAAAAGAAATTTGTCTGTGAATTGTTGCTGAATTCATTTGTTTTTGAAGGGGTGGGGGTGGGGGTCGAAGGTTTCCTACTCTGCCATCTTCCTGACCAGAATTTTAGCTTTTATTTCTTTGAATCCTTTTCAGCCCTATATTCTTTCTGTTCTTTTCCTCAGATTCTGATATTTATTTTAGATCTTTTGTTATCGTTCCATGGGTCCTTGGGGCTCTGTTTATTTTCTTAGTTCATTTGTCTCTGTTATATATATTGAGTAAATTCTATTGATCTCTTCTCAAGTTCACTGATTCTATCCCTTGCCATCTCCACTTTACTTATCAGTCTATCAAATATGTTTTTTGTAGATTTGTTTATTCTGTTTTTTAGTTCTAATATTTTTTTATCTGTTTTTATGGCTTCCATTTATTTTCTGATATTTTCTGTTCTTTAATTTTTTTCAAGATTATTTGTAATTGTTTACTGAAGCAATACTATCACAGCTACTTTATTTATTTATTTATTTTTTTTTTTCAACGTTTATTTATTTTTGGGACAGAGAGAGACAGAGCATGAATGGGGGAGGGGCAGAGAGAGAGGGAGACACAGAATCGGAAACAGGCTCCAGGCTCTGAGCCATCAGCCCAGAGCCCAACGCGGGGCTCGAACTCACGGATCGCGAGATCGTGACCTGGCTGAAGTCGGAGGCTCAACTGACTGCGCCACCCAGGCGCCCCTCACAGCCACTTTAAAATCTTCATTAGTTCCAACATGTGGCTTATCTCAATATTGTTATCAGTTGGTTTTCTTTTCCCATTCTTGTGATTTTTATGGTTCTTGGTGTAATGTGTGATTTTTGGTTGTATCCTTGACATTCAAATCTATTGTTAAGAGACAGTAACCCAAGTTTAGATTTAGTGTGGTTTGTTGTGCCAATGACAATTTCACTTTTGAGGTGCTTTTAATGTTACTCTATTGTGATTCAGAAGCTCCTACTGGATCTCTGCTGATACAGCCTATAGTGGTAAAAGGTACTTTCCTGGGCCACTTTGTATTACTAGGTGGGGTTGGGTGATGAAGGTCCCATGGGATAGAGAACATTTACTCTGGCTCTTCTCTAGCACTTTCAGTGCACTTCTCACTCTGATAGTGCCCCTGGGTGAGGAAAGTTCCTATCTGGAAATTCTTGTCCTTTGTGTTGGGGGTGTTGAGAATTATTTCATGAGGCTCATTTTCTCCCACTGGTGCAAAGCCAGGAGCTACAGAGACTGAATTGCTTTCTGCTACTGGGTAGAGGATTTGGACATGGTTTGTATTCCACCTTTTTGTAAGGGCTTGTAGCATAGTCTGTTGGAACTAGTGCAGACAGAGGTGGCTGCTGCTGTTCCTTAGCATGGGGCAGGGTATGCCCTGCCACTGCCAGTGGGTGGGGAATAGGAGTTAAGCCTAGTTTTGAGAAAAAGTGAATGGTTACTGATGGACATGTATATCCGGGAGCTAATAGCATATAAACAAATTTATGGTAGAGAATGTGATGATACTTTTCATTGCACAACATTAACAAAGGAACAGGATTGACTCTAGTTATCACTAGATTTTTAAGGGAAGAAAAGGGAATATTCACTGAATGAGAATATTAGGGGAGATCCTGGGAAGACTAATGCTGTGAACATCTAGAGGGAGAAGAGCTTGAACTAGTGATGGTGAGCTATATAGATTAAATAATATGGTGAGATATTAAAGAGAAATAAAACTGAGGAAATCTCAGTTAACATGCTTTTGGGTAACTTGGAAAAGAGAAGTGAAATGTTCACATTTGAAGTCACATTGATGCCGCTAATTACGTTAAATTAGCAGCTATAGATTATACATTCAAGAAATGTCAAATATACTCAAATAAAAAAATTTAAATAACCTGACAAAAAGAGAAAAGCTCCAGCTGAATCATTAAAAATAATACTGTAAAAACTAAGATCATAACACAGAGTCAAGATTAAAAATACAATGATCATATTTGAAAGAATAAAAGTTTACAAGTTAGAAAAAAAAACAAGAAAAAATGTGGCTGAGAAAGAAAAGACACAGATAAGAAAGTTATTCATCAAAAATTAAATATTCTAGCAATAAGTTATTTTGGGGGAGGACAGAAGTAATGATTATTTATAATCTAAAGAGGGTTAAAAGAGATTGTGCATAGATAACAAAGAAATGGAATGCCTGGTAAATAATATTATGGTGATGACTAAATCTGAATGTTTGATGATGTCTAGGAAGTAAGGTAAACCTAAAACTTTATTTACAAATCACTCATGAATGTATCTTCATATGCTTCTGTTTAGGGCCATTGCTTTTATCAAGGATACACCGCAGAGATTCCAAAATCAGTTGTGACAGTTAGCACTTGTTCTGGACTCAGGTACTGGCATATTCCAGAGATGTACATGATTGACAATCTTGTGTGATCCTTTAATTTTTAGAAACATCTTAAAGGATAGAGTGAAGGCTAAGAAAATAGACTTTGATTGTGTTTCTGCTCATATACTTTCTTTTCTCCCCCTCTCTTATCATTTTTCCTTTTCTCCTTGTCTCTGTCCCAGGCTTGCAGTCTTAAAATTTATGCAGGAACCACCCCCACCCCCAGTATGAAGAATATTCACATTCCTCAGTCACACTAAAACCATAATGAATCCTAAATGGCATAGTAGGCAGAAAAGGTATAAAATAAGGTTTGAAAGTCTGTCCATGTAAGAAGGGATGATTCTTAGACATCAGACTGCAAAGACAACTGTTAAATTTCTATAAAATGTTATTTTTTTTTATTAAAAAAATTTTTTTTAACGTTTATTTATTTTTGAGAGAGAGAGAGACAGTGCATGAACGGGGGAGGGTCAGAGAGAGGGAGACACAGAATCTGAAACAGGCTCCAGGCTCTGAGCTGTCAGCACAGAGCCCGACGCGGGGCTCGAACTCACGGACCGCGAGATCATGACCTGAGCTGAAGTCGGCCCCTTAACCGACTGAGCCACCCAGGCGCCCCTATAAAATGTTATTTAATGGTGATTTACATTTCTTAGTAGGGAGTCTATATTATCTTTTTATTTCTTTTTTGTGTGTTTAAATATCTAGGGGATTATTGCAGTTGGAGAATGTCAGTTATGGCATTGAACCATTGGAATCTGCAGTTGCATATGAGCATATGCTTTATCAAATAAATAATGATAAAGTTGATTTTTCTCCCTTACAAGAAAATTATTCTATCACCCAATTGGTAGATCAATCCTACAGGATTCTTGTGAAATCAGAAGTAAGTAACCCCTTTTATGAAATCTGCATTGTGTTACTTCTAGTAAATTTATTCATGTTGGGAATTGACTATATTAAAACCTTCTGTTGTAAGACATTTATTTTTAAATGTATTTTGATGTTTAGTCAGATAATATTTACAAACTGTAATAGGTATAAACACACATAATTTAAAAATCAAAGTACTCACATTTCCGTAATTGAAAGTGTATTTCATGCATATAAAAAGTTTCATTGTCACTGAATTTGCATACTACTAATACAATGATATCCAACTCTGCTGATTATTAATTTGTCTGCATTTTCCTTACCAGCACATTTTTCTTTATTATTTTTTAAAAAAAAATTTTTTTTTTCAACGTTTATTTATTTTTGGGACAGAGAGAGACAGAGCATGAATGGGGGAGGGGCAGAGAGAGAGGGAGACACAGAATCAGAAACAGGCTCCAGGCTCTGAACCATCAGCCCAGAGCCTGACGCGGGGCTCGAACTCACGGACCGCGAGATCGTGACCTGGCTGAAGTCGGACGCTTAACCGACTGCGCCACCCAGGCGCCCCTATTATTTTTATTAAAAATTTAAAATTAGAACAGAGGGAAAAAAATTGTCCCAAAGGTCATCATCTCAAAATAGTGCTAGAAGTTTGGATTATCTGTTCTAATTATTTTTATATATCTAGTTATAAATGTAGATTTATAAATATGTAGATAATTTTTAAACAAAAATTTGTATAACCACAAATGCTTTGAAATTTCCTTTTTGCTATCAAAAGGAAAATACACATTATATTACATTTATTATTATTTACAATTAAATAATATTTGGGTTAGCATCTATTAAAATATTAAACATATGCATATGTAAGGATAATAAGAATGGGCCCTCATGTTATTTTCTAAAGATAAATGCAGTTGTGGAATCCATTATCATCATTTTGATGTATGCTATTTTATAGTTTTCATATATATGCATAAACTTGAAATGTATATATTTTATAAAATTATGCCATTTTTGCATATTTATATTTTTATATTAAGTAATCCATCTGCATGAGTTTACAATAGTTTTGAACAATTACACTTTGATTATAAATGCTCACACTTAAGGTAGGCATATTTCCAAAGGCTTTTTCATGTGTGTGTGTGTGTGTGTGTATGCATATATATATATATATATATACACACACACACACACATATATATATACACATATATTTGTATATATAGGATATATATGTATATATCCTAATTTTTCATATATATATATATGTATATATAGGGTTTATATAGGATATATATGTGTATATCCTAACTTTACATATATATGTACTTTTCATATATATATGTATATATATACTTTTCATATATATATATACTTTTCATATATATATATGTGTGTGTGTGTACATGTCTGTGTATATACCTCCTAACTTCCTCCTTAAGAATGTTTATACAACTTTACTTTTATCATCATGGTTGAATAAATGAATCTCTGTCCACATATTCTCATCATAATTGGATATCACACTGAAGACAAGCAAAACAAAATGGTTACGAATGAAACCTGAACTGAATTTATAATGAACTCCATCTCCCTGTTGCTTTAATTTGCTTTTGTTTATTTTGACAAAGTTAGTAGTATGAATACAGATTGATAAAACTGTACTTCCAGAAACTTAAAAAATGATGAAGTATAAACATATATAGAGATGAAAATTTCATTTTTAGTGAAACTAAGAAATGACCCCAAACTTTATGCTAGCTCTGGAAACTGTCTGCATGTTGTAATACAACATTAGACACAATTAAGACAATTTTCACCACTGAAATAGAGCACTATCATATATGTAAATTGGAAAGCTTTAAAAGATTCCATGAATACTTTGCCTGTGGCAGAAGAAGAACCTGAAGGGATGGACATAACTTTGGAAAAGACAAATAACAACACTTGAAGCCATCAACCACTTGGCAGAGATTAGACAAGATAGAGGTAACGTACAGTCCCAGCTGCCTTGGCTTGAATTCCAAGTCTATTAGTTTTAGCCACAAGAACTTGGGAAAGTAACATAACCTTTATGTGTTTAAATTTTCTTATCTGTAAAAAAAAAAATAAAAGTAAACATAATACTTAGCTCATACAGTTATTTCAAAGACTAAGTTTATAAATGGAAATTACTTAGCATAGTGTGTGGACAAATAAAAAAGTGATCAATAAATATTGTTACTGCTATTCATATTTGCTCACAATATTTTCTAATGTAGTGTACAAGGTAATTGGGGGTAATTATGTAAATCTTGGGTACAGAACAAATGTAATGATCAAGTAAAATAGAGACAGAAATTTCAGAATTTAAGAAGAAACCAGGGATATCATTGCAGGATTGGAGATAAGTGAGTAATTGTTATGTGTTTGTGAAATTTATATCTTTCATGAAATAACTCAATTGCTTTTTATCCTGAATTTGATAGGCTTAGATCTATAGGTTTAGTTAAGTTTGTTTTCACATGACTAGTGCTTTTACAAGCACAGATATACAAAATAACTATCTTCACTATATCAGATTTTAAAAAGGAACAGAAAATAATATACAACCTTATGTTTTAGGTATATTTTTATATTTTTGAAAGTAAACAGAAATGAACTCATAAACAAGGTAAATACCTTCACTATAACCAGAGTTGAAAAGTAGAATAAAAACCAAACAATATGGTAAAGGGCTTATTTGTTAAAAGCATTTTGGGCACATGCTTTTACCCCTGTTCCTTCCTTAAACCCCCCCTACAATTAAAAGTGATTTTTAAAATGACAAAAAGACATACAAACACAAAAAGAACAGGAAAGGAATAATAATCAAAATTGAATAGCTCATTTAAAAATCTAAATCCTTGAGGCACCTGGGTGGCTCAGTTGAGTAAGCATCCTACTTCAGCTTAGGTCATAATCTCAACGTTCTGGGTTCTCATGTCCAACTTTGTGCTGACAGCGTGGAGCCTGCTTCAGATTCTTTGTCTCCTTCTCTCTCTGCCCCTCCTCCACTAGCATGCATGCTCTTTCAAAAATAAACACACATTAAAAAAAAATCTTAGAGGCGCCCAGGTGGCTCAGTCGGTTGAGCATCCGACTTCGGTTCAGGTCATGATCTCACAGTTGGTGAGTTTGAGCCCTGAGTCAGCACAGAGCTGACAGCTCAGAACCTGGAGCCTGCTTCAGATTCTGTGTCTCTCTCTCTGCCCCATCCCCACTCATGCTCTGTCGCGCTCTTAAAAATAAATAAAACATTAAAAATAAATAAATAAATATTAATCCTAAACAGGTAATTCGGATAGGCTATAGAAAACTTGAAATATACAGCAGTACTTAAAAAAAAAAGTTTATTTATTTTTGAGAGAGTGAGAGAACATGAGCAGGGGAGGGGCAGAGAGGGAGAGAGAGAAGAGAGAATCCCAAGCAAGCTCCATGCTGTCAGTGGAGAACCCGATGTGGGGCTTGATCTTGTGGACCATGAGATCATAACCTGAGCCAAAATAAAGAGTCGGATGCTTAACTGACTGAGCCATCTAGGTACCCCCAATAATGAATATAGGCATCTTGGCCCCCAAATCACCTATAAAAGTAGAGAAACAGACTGACTTTAGCCTTAGCCAAATGAAGTGCTTATAAGATAGTGCTTATAGGGTGACTTCTCTGGAAGGTATAAAAATCCCAACAATTTTTGTCTAGTCAAGTTGCCATTATAATATAAAAGCATTCATACTTTTTCAAGAATTTTAAGACTATAATATCTATGTGACTTTGAGGAAATATGGCTTAAATCAGTACAGCAATACAAGAATGAAACAATTTAACAGATTTATGTAGAAAACCACAGGACCATATCAGTAGTTCCAGAAATATCATTTGGCCAAATTCAGCACCCATTTATGATAAACTAGGGAGTAGAAAACTTCCTTGATCTGTTTGTGCCCCCTCACATGAGCAAACAGTAGGAAGACAGCTATCTGCAAACTAGGAAGAGTGTTTGTTGTTTAAGCAACCTCGTCTGGTATATTTGTTAAGAACCTGAACTGACTAAAACAGCCTATAAGATTAGGAATAATGCAAGACTGTCTGCCCTTACTATTTCCAGCCACTTTTTTTCCTAGAGTTACTAGAGAGTGCAACAGGAGAAAGAATGATAAAGGGCATACGTTTTTGAAAGAAAAAAAATTCTCTTTTTTTAAGTGACTTAACTCCATACATAGAAAATACTAAAGAATCTCCACCAAAGCTATCAGGACTAATAAGAGAGTCTGGGAGTGCCTGCGTGGCTCAGTTAGTTGAGCGCCCGACTCTTGATTTGGGCTCAGGTCATGATCTCATGGCTCTTGAGTTCAGGCCCCACATTGGGTTCTGCACTGACGGTGTGGAGCCTGCTTGGGACTCTTTCTCCCTCTCTCTACCCCTCCCCCACTCATGTGCCTGTGTGTGCATGCGCTGTCTCTCATGATAAATAAATAAACTTTTTTTAAAACGAGGGTCTAGCAAAGTCACAGGAAAGAAAGAAATTCATGTTGTTGTTTATTTTCCTCAAATTGATCTGTAAATTCAGTGTAATCCCAATCAAAATTTCAGAAAACATTTTTGTGGAAATTGGTTCTCAAATGCATAGGGAGAGATATAAGTAACCTAGAATAATCACACAGTTTTAAACAGAACAAGATGAAAGACTTAACATTACTTTTTCTTAAAGGGCCAGAGTGTAAATGTGTTAGGTTTGTGGGGCAGATGGTTTGTTGCAAGTTATAACACAGTGTTTTTGCAAGAAAACAGCGTCTGTAGAGGATATATAAACAAATGGGTATGCCTAGGTTACAATAAAACATATATATTTTTTTGTAAAACAGGTGGCTGTATCTCGGGCCATAGTTTGCTGACCCCTGGTATAGAGGTGCATATTGTGTTAGTGATATAAATGTAGGTATATAGGTATATAGGTATATAGATCAGAATAGATCAGAAATAGACCCACATGCTATTGGCTGATTGATTTTCCACAAGGGTGCTAAGGACTCTGAAAAACTAAAGAATACTCCCTTCAACAATCAGTGCTAAAAGACTGGATATTCACATGAAATAAAATGAATTTTGGCCCCTATTCAGTAAAATTGAATTAAAGCATAGACTTAATTAAAAATCAAAGCTAAACATAAAATTTCTGGTAGGGAATTTAGGAGAAACTAAATTAATGAGCAGTAAGCCTATAAAGAGATGGTCATTCAACATCAGGGAATTGCAAATTAAAACATAAATGAGATTTCAGTATGGACCAACAGGAATGAATACAATGAAGAAGATGGATAATATCAAATACAGGCAAAAATGTGGAGTAATTGGCACTCTTTTTTAGTTCTTGATAAAATGCAGAATAATCAAACTGCTTTAGAAAGCAATCTGGCACTTTGGCATTATATTACACATCCACACTTACCATATGACTTAGGTATTCCACTTTTAAGATTTTCTGAGAAAAAGTAAAGAACATACTTGCACAAAGACCTCTATATGGATATTCATAGCAGCTTTATATATAATAGCTAAAATGTCTAAATAATCCAAGTGATCATCAACAGGTAAATGTATTAACAAATTGGGATATATTTCTAAAATGGCATACTATTTTAATAAACACTAATGCATTAATAATCACAACATAATGGATAAATGCTGAGTGAAAGAAGCCAGATGTAAAAAAGTATGTGACATATGATTCCAGTTTTATGAAATTCTAGAATAGATTATTCTACCCTATGGTGAGAGAAAGCAGATCATTGATTGCCTTGAGCCATATTGGGCTCTGATGGAAGCACTTTTTATTTTATTTATAGAAATGGATGCATGGGTGATGTATCCATTTATATTAATTGATAGAACTGTGATCAAGCTAACATAATTAGTTAAATGTACAAAAATAATGAGTAACTAAAGGCAGTGTTTTGGGGAAAGATGATGGGAGTTTATTTAGCTTGAAGGTTTGAGGAGGGTCTAAGACAAAGGTTTAGAGTGAAGCGAAACATGGGTTGTCCATCATGAGGATCTTAGTTATAAAGAATATAAGATAGAAGCTTTCGTTTTATTCCTAAAATTTGTGTTTGGAATGTCACCTGCTTTTTATTCAATGGCGTCCATTTTCTTATTTTCCTATTACCAATATCTGTATCTTTATGTATCTGTAGTTTCTTTCTTTCTCTCTTTCTTTCTTTCTTTCTTTCTTTCTTTCTTTCTTTCTTTCTTTCTTTCTTTCTTTCTTTCTTCCTCCATGTGTATATAGATACATATATAATGTGCACGATAATAACAATATATTTTTAATAATTTTTTTAATTTATTTTCATGTTTTATTTAATTCATGTCTGTTTTGCAGAAAGATTCGGATGCATTATTGAACAGATTTCTGAAAATACAAATCATTATGGATAAAGCCTTGGTATGCATTATTGATATATAATAGCTTTGTTTTGTGTTTATATTTAATGGGAATGTGAAAAAGAAAATTCTCCTTGTCTTAAATACAGATATATTTTACTCTTTGAAATATGTATCTTAGTGTAGCAGGACATAAATGTTGTCAGTTGCCTTTGGATTAACATGGGGGACTAATATTTACAGTGTTAACTTATAAATATAGAATTCTAGCAATAATATATAATTTGTATGTATGGAAGTGTTCTACTATACTCTAACCTATTCGATTATAACTAGCTGCATATACTTCTGGATCCACTCCAAATTGTGAGGAAACTCTTCCATAAATTAATTTCCATTTTAAAATAAGCTATTTAGTTTATTATAAATGGGAGATCCCTGTTATTAAAAATTATCTTTTATAAGATTATTTTATGCTTTACAATTTCTTGGATTCTCTGGCAGAAATTCTATATTCTAAAAATGGGAAGAATTATCTATTGGAATATTCATTTAGTTAGGGAAATTTTTATTTATATATAATCAGCAAAGCCATTATGGGTGGCAACTAAGAAATCTTATGTTTTCATTATTACTGATATTTTTATATAAGGTTTATCAAGTGCCATAATGTTGAAAATTAGATCTTGTTGATAAAAGGCAATATTTAGATCTTTAAATAATTTTTATAAAAATAATAGGAAAGAATAGGCAGACAAAATAATAAAGAGAAAAGCACATATAATTTTATTACCAGGAGATAAATTTTATGCACATTTTCTGTTTTTAATATACATACATGTATATATATGTTCTTATACCTTTGTCTTACATATGCTATTTTGTAAATTATTTTGTTTTTCCACATATTAAATATATTAATTTAATTTTAACATTTATATAGTATCTGGTTAATATATTTAATATAATTTAATGTATTTTACTGGCTAATGCCCTTTGGGGGCATTTAGATTTAGGTTTTTGTTATTGTTACATAGGGAATAATACTATTTGTCCTAAACCAGTATCATAAGCATTGGAATTATGTTTTGTCATAGCTGTCCCCATGAGGTTGCTAATATTAAATATAAACAGCCTACTTTTCTCTCTCCACTTAGCTGGATACCTTCTTACCATTCCAATAATAACAGAAGGAATTTTCAATGCAAATGTCATCATGCAAAAACAACAATAAAGAACTCCAGAGTTCTTTATAATATCCTATGAATAGTATTCCTTCTTTTTTGTATTCAGTTTATCTGTCTTAAATTTTCAAGTATGACTTTGTAAACTGATTTTTTTAGATAATCCCTGCCTTTTCATTATACATTTAGTTGATTTAAGTTTTATGAAAAGTACTAATACTGTAGGTGTAGGTTCAGTACTACTATGCTATTAGTATTGTTTGTCTTATTAGTTATTTGCTTCTTTGTTCCTCCTTTGCTACCCTTGGGTTAATGGGGTATTTTTTAGCTTTTATCTTTATCTCCTATATTATATGTTGCTGCTGTACCTTTTTATCTCTCACATCTTACCCCATTGGTTTCTGGAGTGGTTCCAATTAACATTCTTGTCACAATCTAGAATTAATGTTATACCCATTCACAAATAATGTAAGAGGTTTATAAAAATAAAGTTACGTGGATATTATCCCCTTAACGGATATAACATTTGTGGATATCTACTTGTGTTCAGTATGTTCCTTTTTTGTTTTGTTGATGATTTCTTTATGCAAAAGCTTTTTATTTTGATATAGTTCCAATACTTTATTTTTGCTTTTGTCTCCCTTGCCTCAAGAGACCTATCTAGAAAAATGTTGCTACAGCCAATGACGGAGAAATTGCTGCCTGTGTTGTCTTCCAGGATTTTTATGGTTGCAAGGCTTACGTTTACGTCTTTAATCTGTTTTGAGTTTATTTTTGTGTATAGTGTTTAGAAAGTGGTCCAGTTTTATCCTTTTACACATAGCTGTCTGTTTTTTGCAGCATCATTTATTTTTTTTTGTTTTTTTTTGTAACATTTATTTTATTTTTGAGAGAGTCCAAGCATGAGTGGGGGAGGGGCAGAGAGCGAGAGAGGGAGACACAGAATCCGAAGCAGGCTCCAGGCTCCGAGCTGTCAGCCCAGAGCCCGACGCGGGGCCCGAACCCACGAACCGTGAGATCATGACCTGAGCCGAAGTCAGACGCTTAACTGACCGAGCCACCCAGGTGCCCCTGCAGCATCATTTATTGAAGAGATTGTCTTTTCCCCATTTTTCATTCTTGCTTCTGTTGTCATTGATTAATTAACCATATAATTGTGGGTTTATTTCTGGGCTCTCCATTCTGTTCCACTGATCTCTGTGCCTATTTTTGTGCCAGTACCATACTGTTTTGATTACTACGGCTTTATAATATATATATATCTTGAAATATTAAACTGTGTTGCCTCCAGCTTTGTTCTTTTCCAACATTGCTTTGGCTATTTGGGATCTTGTGTGGTTTCATTGTAAAGCCTTAAAAAATAATGAGGTCATGCTCTTTGTGACATAATGGATGGACCTAGAGGCTATTATGCTAAATGAAATAAGTCAGACTGGGAAAAAAAATACCATATGATTTTATTCATATGTGGAATCTATAAAAATAAATAAAAAGCAGAATTCAACACATGAACAATGAGAGCAAGCTGATGATTGCCAGAATAGAGGGAGTGGGGGATAGGGAAAATAGGTAAAGGAGAATGGGAGATACAGTCTTCTAGAAATGGAATGAGTGTTATGAGAATAAAAGGCACAGCATAGCGTTAGGAATAAAGTCAGTGATGTTGTAATAGCTTTGTATGGTGACAGATTATAGCTACACTTAGGATGAGCTTAGGGTAATGTTTACCCTTGTGGAATTAATATGTTGTGCACCTGAAACTAATGTAACAGTCTGTGTCAACTACACTTAAAAAATTAATGAAAATAATTGTAAAAATAACCCTATGTGATGTTATTGTAATATATTTTACTTTGCCATGTGTTCTAAACTACACAATAGTTTATTCTTTTAATATTCAATTGTTTAAGGAAATTAAGGAAATGAAAAAAGAATTCATTTTCCCCCCATGTTTACCATTTTCAAAACTCTTTGTTCCTTCTTATAGGTCTCCGTTGCTGACATTTCTGTTTAGCCTGTTGATGAATTTGCTTCAGCTTTTGTTCATCTGCAATTATTTTTATTTTACTTCAACTCTTTAAATATTTTATTTTGAAATATTTTTAAATTTTCCAAAAAGTTGCAAGAATAAGAGTAATACGAAAAATACCTATACTCTATTTACTTAGATTTATTGTATCCCATTGATTGTATCTATCCCATTATCACTTGTGCTGTATTTGAAAGTATGTTGTAAATTGCATCATGAAGCTTTTTTTCAGTGTTCATTTACCTAGAATAAGATCATTATCTTATATAACCACAATCGAGTTATTCATGTAGGTAAAAATAACATCATTAAAATACTTTTAATTCAGTCTACCAGGTATGTGCATATACATATAATTAAAGCATTTCAGAGGTAATATGTGATTTTGTTTCTTTGAATGAGGACAATTTCTTGAGTATTTTTATTCTTATGGTACATTGTTTATATGAGGTGTATAGTCATGTTCTCTTACTGTGTTGAAGAAAATGGTGGTGGCAGCATACTGTATCAAATAAAAATGACTTAGCATTTTAGTTAAGAGATTTGAGTCCTGGTTCCTATTGTTAGTAGTCATACAATCTTGGAACTTTAACTTTCAACCCTTAATTTCTGTATGTGTTAGGAAGAAGATAATCACGAACTTCTCATTTTATTATTATTAATGCATAAGCTCCCTAGGTTTAAGCCTAAAACTTACTAAGCACTTAATTCTGCTTTTTTTCCTTTCACTGAGCACTGCATTATTTTGACACTTATATCCATTTAAAACGTGCTGGTTTAGTAATTTTTAATAGTGAACAAAATTTGTCTTTCAGTTTGATTATATGGGCTCTGAAGTGTCAGGTACAGTTGAGAAAGTTGTCCATATCTTTGGTCTTATCAATGCTGTAAGTATGTTTCATTTAAATACTAAACATTCCTGGGGCGCCTGGGTGGCGCAGTCGGTTAAGCGTCCGACTTCAGCCAGGTCACGATCTCGCGGTCAGTGAGTTCGAGCCCCGCGTCGGGCTCTGGGCTGATGGCTCGGAGCCTGGAGCCTGTTTCCGATTCTGTGCCTCCCTTTCTCTCTGCCCCTCCCCCGTTCATGCTCTGTCTCTCTCTGTCCCAAAAATAAATAAACGTTTAAAAAAAAAAAAAAATAAAAATAAATACTAAACATTCCTATTAATGCAATAACATTGTTTGTATAAATAGTATTTACAATTTTATAAAATATATTAACAACTAGTTTTATGCATTGATGAATCTCATCTCCAAAAATGAGTGAAGTGAATATATTAGCATTATGTATAGAGTTGTAATGTAATGCTTATGACTAATTAACACCTGTATGTGGTGTAACTTTTATTTTTAGATGTTTTCCCAGCTTAAAGTCACTGTTAAGCTAACTTCTTTGGAGCTCTGGTCAGATCAAAATAAGATTTCAACTAATGGGGATGCTGATGAAGTACTACAAAGATTTGTGTCATGGAAAGAAAAAAGTTTATTTCAAAGGTCTCGTGATATGGCATACTTATTAATGTAGGTGCATTATTTGCATTGATATAGAATTTATAAAATTACCTCATATGTTAGTGATCGGAATTATATGCAAAATGTGTTCTGGGTTATGACAAGACACCTCAAAAATCGTATGCATACTGTGTTAGCAAAATGCAAAATATAAAAATCTAATAACAATGTAGGACACTAAATCATAGCAGGCCATTATTCTCAGAGTGGACTGTTTACCCATGGAAGTGTATTAAATTTGAAAATTCAGAAAGCTGGGACACCTGGGTGGCTCAGTCAGTTGAGCAATCTGACTTCAGCTCAGGTCACGATCTCGCAGTCCGTGAGTTCGAGCCCCGCGTCGGGCTCTGGGCTGATGGCTCAGAGCCTGGAGCCTGCTTCCGATTCTGTGTCTCCCTCTCTCTCTGCCCCTCCCCCGTTCATGCTCTGTCTCTCTCTCTCTCTCTCTCAAAAATAAATAAATGTTAAAAAAAATTAAAAAAAAAAAAGAAAATTCAGAAAGCCTTGGGATAAACATGGGGCCTCAAGGGTTTTAAAGATTTTCTCAGAGTTAAATAATTGAAACTATCACTTTAATATTAAATAAAATATAAATTAGTTAACAGAATGCAATAGTTGCATATAAAACTGGTTAAAATAAAAACATTAAAATACTAATATGGTTACCTTCTAGTATTTGTATAATAACCTAAGGTATAGATATATAACTATTTGTACTATAGCTTTCAAAAGCCTTCATATAGATGTTTGCTTTACTAATTTGATTAATTTACATGGAAAAATAAGAACATAATTCAGAAGGTCTTAAGCAACATGAAATATATTTATAAATCTACTGGTGTCTCCTACTGCATTAAGGTCAGGTCTGGGGACTCAGGAACAACATTAATGGGACTAAAATGTGTGAGGATGCTTTCTGTATCCTCTCTCTCAATATGAGTCTACCTCATATTGTCTTTTCTCTCCCTGTCCTCCAATGCATCCTTTTTTATACACTTTACAGAATCAATTAATGCAAATCATGGCAGTAAACTATCCTGACTTGTACATCTTAGAATTATATCCATCCAGTGGTGGCAAGAGTGATGATTAATTTTTCAGAAGGGTAGGCACTGCTGGGTTTTGGGCTGTGTATCATATGACATTAAAGTGGACTTTAGAACTTAACTTTTAGAAACTGTGGGAAATCAAATACAAAATGATTGAAAACATTAGATTCAATATGTAATACTCAAGTTTCAAAAAACTGTTTTACTGAGGAATCCAATTCTTAAAACGTCATTAAGTTATTAATAAAGTATGTTTATTTACAAGAAAAAATTTTGTTATTTAGTTATAGAGACCATCCTAATTATGTAGGAGCAACATATCATGGAATGGCATGCAATCCAAAGTTTGCTGCAGGAATTGCTCTGGTATGCATTTTTATCTCCATCTCTTTAGTAATTATATCACCTTTTGAAGTTAATATCTATTTCAGGAAACAAACATACATATAGTGTTTCTACCATGCTGTTTTGACACATTTTTATGAAATACCTTTTATTTGGATTTTGAAAGTCAAATATTACAATTTTAAAATTTTTGTGTGTGGTAAAATACGCAGAATGTGAAATTTACCATCTTAGCTATTTTAAGCATATAGTTTAGTAGTGCTTATGATTTACGTCATTGTGAGACAGATCTCAAGAACTCCTCATCTTGCATAACTATAGCTTTGCGCCTTTTCACCAACATGGCCCCATTTTCCAAGCCCTCTAGCCCCTGGCATCTACCATTCTATTTACCTGCTTCTGTGAGTATGACATTTTTGGATTCCCTATATAATGGTGAACATACAATTTTTGTCTTCACGTGTCTGGCTTCTCTTATTATAGTACAGTCTAGGTTCATACATGTCGTTGCATATAGCAGGATTTCATTCTTCTTATGACTGAATAACATTCCATTATGTGTGTCTGTATAGGTGACATTTTATTTTTTTCCATTAACATGTCAATGAACACCTAAGTTGTTTTTAATACCTTGGCTATCATAAATAATGCTGTAATAAATGTAGGAGTGCAGATATCTCTTTGAAATGCTGATTCCAGTTATTTTGGATATATGTATGTATATATATATATTTGTGTGTGTGTGTGTGTATATATATACGTATACATATGTATATACATATGTATTTGTATATATGTATACATATACATATGTATACGTATATACACACACACACACACACAGAAGTAGGTTTGCTGGGTCATCTTTAATATTTTGAGCAATGATCATACTAATTTTGAGAATGGTTGCACCATTTGATAATCCCACTAGCAGTTCACATAATATCCATCACAACTTCACCAACACCTGTTACTTTCTGCAGTTGCTTTATTTTACAGTAGCCATTCTATTGGGTATGTGGTGATATCTTACTGTGGTTTTGATCTACGTTTCTATGATTATTAGTAATATTGAGGATCTTTTCATATACCTTGTGACCTTGTGAAATCTTCCCTGCAGAAATGTCTATTCAAGTCCTTAGCCCATTTTTTAATGGCTTTGAGGTTTTTTTTGTTTGTTTTTGGATTGTATGAGTTCTTTATATTTTGGATGTTAGTCTCTTATCAGCTATACGATTTGCAAAATTTTCCCCATTTTGTAGGTTGCCTTTACACTTTGTTGATCATGTCCTTTGAAGCACAAAAGGTTTTTTTTTGTTTTTTTTAATTTTTTTTTATTTTTTATTTTTTTACTATTTTATTTATTTATTTATTTTTTTATTTATATATGAAATTTATTGTCAAATTGGTTTCCATACAACACCCAGTGCTCATCCCAAAAGGT